TCAGCAGAATGACTTCAGCTGTCAATCAACGTCAGTGGGATGGACCTGTACACCCACTGGATGATCCTTCATAGCGTCCATTAGTTTTCCTGCTCACTGGTACAGCTAGCATAGCAGCAACTTGCTCAACAGTCATGAAGGATGGCAGAGTTGCATGAACTTCGTTTAGAACTTTAGCAGATCAAACTGAGAGGATTAGGTTCTCAGAAGATACAGGTGTCGTGACAAAAAGCAATGGACTGAAAAAAAATCAATCGGCGCCATGGGAGCCGATTTTTCCTGAGTGGATGCTGTGAAGGATCATCCAGTGGGCGTGCAGGTCCATCCCACTGACATTGATTGACAGCTGAAGTCATTCTGCTGTAAAGTGGCATTATGAAATAAATAAGCCATTATGAAAAACACAATTATAAAATAAATGAGCGATCATGAAAAACAATTATGAAATGAATTATCCAGTTTTTCTTATTTCATACTGCTTTATTTATTTATTTAATTTTGAGCATTTCTTTGTTCCATAACCAACAGGTTAAGTTGAACACAGTTTCTTGCTTTTTGATCTGGCAGAGTTTAAAATCAACTCAATATACAACTGTGTGCTAAACGTAATATATTTATTACTGCACAAGATTGTAAGTCAGTGTTGTTCTCAAAAAAAGACGAGCACAAATTGTACATGTCGGATTACACGCAACCTGTGCTTGGTTAAATTTCATCACAAGACAGTTAAGCATTTTATCCTGCAGGCTTCGCCTCCCAGTAACAGCATTAAAATATTCAAGTCTGTCAAAATAGGACCCCACCCAGAGCGAGTCATGGGCAGTCTATTTGCTTTGTGAACTATTATGCATTGACTAACTTCTCGGTAAAACCCCTCCCTTTTTCTGTTTCTCCCTCCTCTCTTCGTGATGTAGACGTTGCAGTTTACAGCCCTGCCTCTGTGCCGGCACAGTGCAGCTGTTGTCATGTGCTTTGGGATAATGTGCAGGCTGTATCTGACGAATGGCTGGCTCGTCTGCTGTTTGCTCCATGCCAAATGGACCCATCCAGATCAATGGGGCACTGACAGGAGGGATAGAGAGAACACAGTGTGGCACATAGCGGTTTATATTCAATAATCAGTGCATTAGAGATGCAAACTTAAAACACTGAAGAGTAGAATAAAGGAAATACTTGTATCTTGACTCCTGCTGATGTAACAAATTAACATTTTGCTACTCAAAACATCTGCTATGAATGTGTCTGATGCAGTCTGTCAATTTAATGACACACACATCCACCCACTTATTTTCTTTTGATTTCTCTTTTGTTTTCTAGTGAGATTTATTGCTGTAGTTCGCCTGATTTGGAAACCTTGAGCAACACGTTTTATCATTGATGCATGAGTCTGCTGAGGCGCCGATATTCGGCACAAACATGCAAAGCAGAGCGGGACACTGAGCTCCGAACGGGTGGCGGGCAGCAGCGTGCACCTTGGATTGAGTAAAGTGAAACACTAGCATTCAGATTTAGTTTCCCTGGCTCTTTTTCCTCTTTTCCACAGTGTCGTTTAGACGTTTGGACGCTTGGAGGAACGTAAAACTGAACCTTTAAAATTTGTTCCTTGTGTGCCTCGAGCCGCAAAAGTTCTCTATCACCTTGTTCATACAGAACGTGCGACGTTGACAATCACACAGGCATTTCAAAGCAAATAAGCTCCACCCTGCAGCACACCAAAAGGCAGGGGTTGTGACTGTTGGATAATGGGGGGGGGGGGGGGGGGGAACCAAACATTAGGCTCTTTCATAAATCGGTTCCTCAAAATGGCCGCAGAGCTCGACTGGGCTGACGTGGAGCAAAGCGTTAAATATGTGACGACCATCTTCCTTGGATCAGTTTTCAAAACATTCTGAATTAAATCTGTTTAACGTGTCCACTGTTTTGTCTGTTACCTCATTTTGCAAAGGAGCATCAAGGGTGGGTTGGCTGTGACCCCCCTCGGTCCATTTAGAAATTGTACCGTGGCGGCCAGTAGGCCTTTAGTCCCACCTTGAGGTGTTTTGCGTAACTTTCCATTGACACTTCTCCACTCCTGCCAGCTACATGAAGAAGAGCACAGTAGGCAGGGGTGTGTTTGGGGGGGGGGGGGGGGGTGTTGTTTGTTCTCCAACCTTTCAGTAGTTCCTCTCCTCTGCACACGGAACCTGCCTCTGGGTATCAAGTTGTTGGGACACACCTCATCACGTCAGTACACAGTCATCAGGTTCCCCCCACACCCCCAGTTTGTGAGCACGGTAACCTTAGAGCTAACGTTAAATTTTAAATTTGTGATTTTTTTCTTTTCTTTTTGAAGATAAAGGGGTTCCCTTTACACCACCCCACGCCACCTTTTCCTCACATGATAATAACCTATGAAACTAGGGATGCTCCGATCAGTTTTTTTTCTGCCGATCACCGATGCCGATCATGCATGGTGCCGATCACATGGATTGGCTGTTCATTGTTTGATTTTGTTAAGATGAGTGCTACTTGCCACATGAGCTGGAAAATGGGAACCAAATGGGTATCTCTGCAGACAAATATGGGAGGCGTTACTCGAGGGCCACATCTGATTGGACAAAACAAAACAAGGCGTTATTGGCAGATTGTGTTAACCACAGACATATATTATGTTCATGGTGTTAACCGGTTCGACATTAGCGGCGTCTGCACAACTTCTCTTTCCACCTCTCTTAACACAGAACTTCCTGTTACATTTCAAAATAAGAGCAACATAAATGGGTAGTGGGGAGGGCTATGTTTGTTTTTTTTTAATTCCTAGCCATTACATTAAAAAACAATCCATTTTTGTTGTTGAATAATGTAAAAATATTTAAAATCAATTCATAAAGAAAGAAAAATAAAGTAACCAAAATATTAATGATACTTAAACTGGCTTTGGGACAAGGGATGTTTCCTTTAAAGTCACATTTTCTTGTTCAACCTTTTAAATCAGTCACTGCAGATGAGTGATTGTCAGTTTCTGTCAGATTTCTGCAACTGGAGCAGGTATTTCTGTTTACTGGTTAACTTCCTCAGCTGTCTCACATTTTAAGGGTCAATCCTACTCCATGTGCCGGCTCCTTTCATAGATCAGATCTCATAGAAGAACTTCTAAAGAGCAAATTTTGTTTTTAGCATCTTTTTTGGGCCGTTATCTCATCACAGGCCTCATGATCTTTAATTGAGACCAGACTTTTTGACAAATAGGAGCAGGTTTTGCTTCAGATGCTTCATATTTCATTGTACCCAGACCACACTCAAGCCAACCTGTGTCAGGTGCAGCCTACACTCCAAGAACAAAAGAGAATGTTCTTCAGCAGATGTAACGCTGTTTCTTAGAAACCTTCAGTTTTAAAAAAGAGCTGACGTAACTTACCTAAAGAGCAGCAAATACAGCTAGCCAATCAGTTTTTGCCCTTTAGAAGCGCTTATTTTATAAAAACGCCCACTTTCAGTCTGCAGAGAACCCCTTCTCGAATATCGTGCCTAACAGACTCTTTGAGAGAAGCCCACAACAGACAGGAACATGCATGTGGATTTTCTTAGTTGACTTAAAGTTGACAAAAACTTATTTAGCAGAAGTTCATTCTGCTAACGGTGTCCAAAGATAAAAAAAAAACCTGCTAATCCGCTAAATGAAAATTTGTTCAGCTTTTAGCTGTTAGCGGATTAGCTGAACTTTCCCCACCCCTGAGTAAACCTTCCATGCAGACAAGTCAAATGTGAACTATGTGCAGGCTCGACTAGATGAGCTACATTGTTCCTTATTGAAGGAGCACAGAAAACAGTTGTCACAAGAATAAAGGCTACACTGGCTTGTTGCTCCAGCTGAAGCGGATTAGCATGTCTCTTTTAACAATAGTACATTTTGAACCTTTCGTTGGACTTTTTAAAGGCATATTTTTGGATCAAATTGTACATTATTTGAACACTAAAGTGACTAAATTACAAAAAGCATGTACCTTTTTAGAGGTTTGAACAAATTGTACGCTTAAAGCTTGGAACTTTACACACTCCTGTATAAGAAGCACAACGCCTTTAATACAGAATAGAAGTCCAGCTGCTTTAAAAATAATAATAATAAATAAAAAAAAACGATTTAGCTTGAGTCTCTCTTTTTCAAATGATTTGAATTGTAACCCTTAAACTTCAACAATTGACCCTTAAAATAATAATTTACAAAGTTTTTATTATGTTTTATCTTATTATGTTTGGATTTCCATTTGGAAGGTTGTAATTCCTAATCATGATATCACTGTGGAAAAAAAAAATCACTGTAATCGCCACTTTGATTGTTGACATGTGCTGCTGATTGTTTTTGCTGCTGATCTCATGCTGCTGATTTACGTCATGCTGCTGTGTTCATTCGTACTCATCTGCTCACACAGAATCACGTTCGTGCTGCTGTTGTTCGGCGTATTGTTTTTGCACTATTAAGTGTTTAGCGTATTCTTAGTTCATATCTTAGATCTTTATTACAGTTTTCTTTTACATTTTAATTCTTTGTTGGATTAACTGGGACCATGTGTACACAATTTTGTTCCGCCTGATGCACCACATGTGATGCGAATGACAGTAAAGAACCTTGACGTGACTTTAGAGCATAATCTGGTGCAAAAGATGGAAATAAATGTCTTACACTGGCAGGGATTAATATTTAATAAACTTTACTGGTGATTTGTTGATTTGCATGGTGTTGACTTGGGCTGACTTTATCTGTAACAGAGACAGTAATCCACTAATAATCTGATTTATTCTGCGGAAGATGTGGCTTTTCAGCATCAGAACTAAAAACTAGTCCTAACAGTTAGTTTTCTGAAAATGTTTGGGTCTAACTAGGTTTCGCTCGGTCCCAGTAGGTCTCAGGAACACTGACTGGAGGGTTGCGCTCTGTTTTGTAACTGCCTTTTGTTTCTCCGTGAAAATCATCTGATCTAAAAGGTTTGCTGACCTTTGCCCCCTCTCTGTCTCTCATGCAGGTGTAGATGCTCCAGGCGCAGCGGGGCCCGGCCTCTGTATCGGAGCGGGACGAGGCTGCTCCCACCTGGGCCACGGTACACCACTGAAACACCGGCTCGTGGTCAGATCTGCTCAGATTAGAAAACGGGACGAAGCTCAGAGGCCATTTTGTGAAGTGAAGCTGAGTGAAGCAGAGGAGGAGGAGTAGTCGCAGTGGGGATATTTTCGTCTGCTTCCCGCCCTCTGAACTGCACTGCGATGACGACTGCAGTTCACCCCAGTGAACTGGTGTTTGAGTTTGCCAGCAACGGGATGGATGAAATGAATCAGGTATCTGTCACGCTGAGGGAAACGGCTTTTCTGTTCTTGTACACATAACTGGGCTTGCATTACAACACTTGTTTAAGTTGCTCAAACGCTCTTCGGACAAGAAACTTGTTTATCTTTTTCAACCCACGTGATCAAGTTTGAGCATTTAACTCTTTTCAAAACAAACTCGTGTAAACAGCATGGACATCGGGGTGGGATGAGCCTGTGATGTTTGAGCTCGACTCCAGGTTTGGAGGAGGATGGAGCAGCGAGGAGGTCTGGGAAGAGGAGTGCGGGTTGCTGGGAGCACATTCAGTGAGGGTTAGGGTGCGTGGGAGGGAACGGGTGGGGCTTGGACATGAAGGTTGATACGTGGTATAAAACCTGCGCCGGTGCGTCGTGCCGTTGGCCTTTTGGGTGTGCAATTATCTCTTTCACATCTGGGTTTGAATCCTGTGGGTCTGGCTTTAATGGTAAATGTTTGTGTGGGTTTACATGCGCTGGTATCTGCACGAGTATCTAAAGTGACAAGTTGTTACTGGATCCCTGAATAGGACCGAGTCAGGCCTAACCTGACAGACCAGTTATGTTGCTACTTGGAAGAGACAGGATAATTCAGTTAAAAGGTCTTGCATTGTTCCGCTGTGACAGTTTTGTTCTATGTGGCACCCACTTGGCCTGTTTTGTCAGCAGCATGGCTTTTCTTTTTTTTTTTTTTTTAAACCAAGTCATGAGAATTCGCCAAACTTATTGCAAATTAAAAGAACATAAATCTGAACGTTTGAAGAGATTCTTTGGCTTTTGCTGGAATTTTAATGCTTTGGTTTGACCGCAATAAACTTTTTGGATCTGAGGAAAATCATGTAGTGATTAGCTCTTCTACATTGGATTTTAGGTCAATAAGTTCCCTCCTCAGGTGTTTGATGTGATTTTCAGCAATCAAGTTGTACTCTGAATGTTTCTTGTTCGCTTGCTCTGAAATCGAAATACTTGTTTTTGATTATCCTTAAAGTTGTCTCTACAAGAGGTTGAGTCAGGTCCTCTTGATAGATTCTTCTTGTTGAAACATTTCATTTTTTTTATATATAACCTTTATTTAATCAGGCAGATCCCAGTGAGATCACAGATCTCTTTTGCAAGGGAGGCCTGGACCTGAAGGCAGCCTAACATGCATGTTTTTTTGTCTGTGGGAGGAAACCGGAGTACCTGGAGAAAACCCACGCAAGCACGAGACGGACATGCAAACTCCACACAGGAAGACCCCAGGTCCAACCGGAGATTGAACCCAGGTCCTTCTTGCTGTGAGGCAACAGTGCTAACCACTGAGCTGTCGTGCTGCCTAAATCCAAAAGATATCCAAATATCCAAAAGACCTTCAGTCTGAGGAGCTGCAACAAACTCAGTCTTATAAGCAGCACATTCTCATAGTGGATCAACCAGTTTGCTGGTGACAGCCAAAACTATTTGTTCATTTAAAAAAAAAGGTTCATAGGCTCAATCTTCCAGGTAGATAACAAAAAAGGTTAAATCATTTCATCTGGATGAGTTTCTTTAAGGGAGAAACGTTTCGTCTTCCATCCGGAAGACTTCATCAGTCTGTGGCCAGCCAACCAGATCTGTCCCATAAGTAGCCTTCACTGCTGTGTTTCAAGCCAGCCTCCTGTTGGAATCTCAGAAGCAGGCTTTTAACACATGCAAAAGGACCCATCTGTCCAAAACAATCAATCTTCATGTATAACAATCAAATGTTTTAGGCCAGATGACCGACCTGCTACTCACAGAAACAGCTTGACGACACCACGGCCAAAATGGTTCAGAAAAAATGTTTGTAGGCTCAATCATCCAGATAGATGACTAAAAAAGGTTAATGCATGCAACAGGAGGACCATCAGTCTAACAATTGATTGTTAGTGCCCTGATGGCCGCGTGCTATTAACAGCAGGCTGAGTGATGCAGTAACAGCATTGTAAGAGGGGGACACATGGAGGCCACCTCCATGTTTATTAACCCACATTAAGTTCAGAACCACTAGACTGAGGAACAGCTTCTACCCCGAGGCCGTCATGAATATCTAACCAGGATAATCACTGTGAAAAATCATATCCTGTTGCTGCTGATTTGTTTTTTGTTGCCGTGTTCATTCGTGCTCATCTGCTCACACAGACTCGTGTTCGTGCTGCTGTACGGCGTATTGTTTTTTATGCTACTAGTGCTTTAGTGTATTTCTAAACACATTTCTTAGTTCATATCTTGGATCTTATTACCGTTTTTCTTTTACATTTTGTACTTTTGTTGGATGTAACTGGGCCCCTGTGTGCACAGTTTTGTTCCACCACATGTGATGAAATAAAGAAGCTTGAATCCTTGTTCAACGATGGACGCGTTCTCTTCACAAAGATGGCTTCTTTTACTCCCCTCTCCAACCAACGTTCCTCTCTTCCAGGATGTGAACATCTTCATCCCTGAAAGGTCATTTGACAATTTCAACAAAGAAGAGTCCGTCCAGAGGACCCAACTCAACCTTGTTGGATGCATCTACCTGGATTATTGAGCATGCGTCAGGACATCTCCACAAGACATTTTGCCTTTAAGTTAAACATTTAATGAGTATTAGATGGTGTTGCTCTCTCAAGTTTCACATTGAGGATATTAAAAGCACACAGGCAGTTAAAACCCACTGTGCCGGGGCCAGTAAAGCAGAAGAGAGTGGGGGAGAAATGGGGAACTCAGAAATGCAAATCATCCTGATAGTTATCACTCCTGTTCCTCTTCTAGAAACTCTGTTCAATAAACAGAAAGAAATAGATGGACTAAGCATCGTCTTCAAAACAATTTACAGTGGCAAGCTCCTGTGATGTTTCACAATTTAAAGACAAAAGTTTCCCGTTGTTCTTGTCGAGCTCCTTTAGAAACTGTCGAGTCACGACGGTTTACACGGCAGTACAAGACGAGTTGGACGTGCTTTGGCTCGGAGCGAAAATCCATTCGAGATCAAAACGGCGGCTGAGACGGCAGCTTCACGTGAATCGTGCTCTGTCAACAAACTGCGTGTGAGTCAGTCGTTGCGTTTGATGGAAGGAGAGGAGGGATGCGACGCTGTTTCTGGAGCTCAGCAGACCAACAGGCAAAACATATTTTATCTACACACACTCTTTACTCTCGGTCAAGGATGGCAAGCACCATTTAAATCCAACCAAGAAAACATGCTGGCCTCAGTGTCTCTGACCCAAAGATTGTGATTAATGAAAAACATTCTGTGTATGTCACAGACACTGATAGCGATGGCAGCCAAAACAAAACTCAGGGATTTTTTTTTGCTTTTCAGCTGATACACTTGTTTCAAGCTAATAGATACCAAGTGGAGCCATCTTGATGTTAACGCCTGCACTATTTACAGTTTGTACAATAAAAATCCCAGAATACCTGCAGGAGCAGCGCTGAAGGACTAACTATTCCTTACTTTTTCCAAATAATGACCCCGTCTGTTAGTGTTCTGGTTAAAGTGTAACAAAAACGGGCATGCTGCTGTGTGGTTGAATGACACCCCCCACCCTACCCCCCAGCTCAAGGCCTGGACACCTGGTATGCCCCTGAAGTCCCAACCAACAATGAACACTTGTGTAAAAAGAGACAGATAAGCCTTTATTCATGTCCCTCATACAGCACCTCCCCCCACTCTTAAATCATCTCATCGCTGCAGGAATGTTATTTTTATTGATCCACATAGTTTGATTAAGCATTAAAGAGTTGACGGCGTTGTAAAATCTGGTGTGAAGGGACGCTTCACACTGTTTTAGGTTTTTGTCATCGAAGCACCATGCACCATTATTCCGACACAATATTTAACTTTTTATTTATTTAAAACTAAACAATTATCAATGTCTTGACTCTCTCTACCTGGTGGGTGAATTTGTTACTGATAAAGAGATTCTGATTAGAAATCTTTATTTGTCATTGATGTTTGAACATAATGTACAATTTAAAAGTGTGCTTTGCTGCCATCTGCTGGTCATCAATTGATTCATTATAAATTATCCTTTTTTTTAATTCTCGCGTACTAAAAGGAAAAAAATACATTAAAGTTCTATAGAAATTGAGAAAATTTTACATTGAGCTGCATTCACGTTTTCTCATACTACATAAATCAGCTGCGTTCTAAGTAGGGGTTGAGACAAATTACAGAGAAAAAGCTCATATTTAGCTTATTTTTGCAACAAACTGTACAAAATATTAGACTATA